GATTTATGGCAACAGAAGCAGTTGCGGTGGCAAGATTTATAGTGCATTCGGAAAGTACTGGGGAATTCTGGGAGTTGGAGTCCACACATCATAAAGTTGCCGAGGTTGAGAAACACGGATCTACATTATATTCTTTAAAGTCCAATTTCACTGCATCTACCTCTATTGTATTTGTTTATTGCCGACCCCTATATTTCTTTCGTCACAAACCCTATATATCCCTATTGTCACTCTCTATAAAACTATAATCCTTTTCTATGGAGTTCAAACTGATTTTTATCGTTTTTGTTAGTTTCTGTGTTCTATTTCTCTTCTGTCCAAGTCTTTGCTTCTTCTTCACCCTTTCTGCTTGTGCATCTCTGGCTGGGCTTCTGGACTCTCCAAAGATTGACTCCAGCTGAAGAAAGAAAGAAATCTTTTCACACCCCAGTTTTTCCCGCTGTGACCTCATTTCCCATAGACTCTTCATCAGCAGGGCTTCGGCTGTGTTTATTCTGTCTATTCTTTAGTTTTACTCCTGGGCTTCGGGCTCTGTTTATTCTGTTTCTTCTATTCTCCCTCTAACCTGCCTGCCCGACATTGCTGCTTGATTGACAGCTGCTGTTTGATTGGCAGCTGGGTGGTCCTGACAAGGGGGGAGGGCTGAGAAGGGAGGGGAAGGAAGGAGCACAGGTGTTTATCATCTGCTCAGGTAGTCTGTCCTTCCACACTACCAAACAGGGCTGTTGTGGTGGTGGTGGTAGAGAAGCCCTGATGGAAAGAGTGCTGTGCATGTTATCTCCAGCTGGAGAAAGGTTAGAATACAAATCTAGTGAAGAAATAAACACTGTCTGATCAGACTTGGGCCATTCTAAAAGATTATTATTCATTAAACTTTGGAGATCCTTGAGTGCCATCTAGTGGCATCATGGTCAACGCAGCACCCAAGACGCAGTTGATATTTCTATTTATAGAATCATCTTTTAAAATCCAGTTTTCACATGGTTTTCCACCTCAATACACTTTGTGTTAACTTTCTAGTTAAGAGTGATGGATGGCAGGTGTTCATGACTGTGGCAGAGTCTATTTGGGCATTCCTGAGCAAAAAGAAGTCGGTGACAGATTTATTTTCTACTCCTGCTTGTAAGAGAAGCAGCGATGCAAAGCCCCACGCTTACCCAACATACACAGAGGCTTCCTGGCAAATTTTAGCCTCCCACGCCATCCCTTGTATCGACAGCAACAGCCAGCTGCCCAGATCCTTAAGGCAAATTCTGCTCCAAAGATGAAGATGGCAAAGGTTTCCTACAAGGAAGAAAATGAAAAAAGAAAAGAAAAGAAAGAAACAGCAATAACAAAATTCTGGAAGGAGCATATCCCTAGATAAAACAATTCTAGGAGCGTGAAAGACATTGTTCAGACAAGGAGAATATTCCACAACCAGGTCAATCCAGATGCACTGGCTAGGGTTGGTGGGAGCTGCAGTCCAGCAGAACTAGAAGATGCCAAGTTGAGGAAGGCTTCTTTAAAGCAAATCCAACCTCTGAGGATTCCCCACGTGTCCAGAAGATGTAAGGCATAATTACACCATTGCCCCACCCGTTATCCATCACAGATCACATCTCCTATGCCTAGACTCATAGGCATCGGGCCCTAGACACAATGACACCAAAGGAGCAAGATATGACTTGCGATGAAAGGATGCAAACTCCACTTTTTTGCATATGCATTGTAACATCACATGCAAATACATAAGGGCAATGATGCACTTTTTGTCACTTGCTCCTCCTTGTCCCCTCCTGCAGAGACTCATGCTAAGACGGCTCATTTCCAGACTGTGCTGGAGCCCGTGAGCCTGCCGTGAAAAATAAATCCGTTTAGCATTGAAAACTAAAGTTCTGCAAAACATCTTAAGGTGGAAACATTCTGACCCCCAAATATTCTATTCCAAGCTCTGAGAGCTTCATTGGAAGAGTCACTTCTGACCCTAGTAGCAGAAGTGGTCCAGTCTCAAAAGAGCCCATTTCAAGGTTGGAACCCTCCCAGCAAGGTTGGAATGGCCCATTCTGACAATGGAATCCTTCCAGTAAGTTTCCAACGATGGAACACTTCCTGTAAGGTTGCATTGACTGATTCTGACCCCACAGCACTTCCAGTAAGGTTGGAATGCTTCCTCCAATAATGGAGAACTTCCAGCAAGACTGGAACAAGCCTTTCACAGTTGGGACATTTTGATCTTGATTCATTTTGTCCACTTCTACAGGAAACCAAGAAAGCTCCCTCACATCAAAAAAGACCATTTGTCCCCTAAGCCCAGGATTGTCTATTCTAATGCAATAGTTCTCCAAGGTCATAAGCAGAGGTGACCATCTGATCTTATCAACTGGAGAGGCTAGTGATTGCAGAGTGGACCTTTGGCAATTACAGCATGCCCCTACCATTTCTTTTCTTCTTAAAATGACCAATTAACCCCCACATTCATTAATAGAGGGGGCTGTCTACTGGATCCTAGTTACACAACCAACCTCTCTTAGATGGGGATGCTTCTTTAGCAACTCTACATAGCCAATTTTAGGGGCTGCTCGCTCATGTGAATTTGCCCATTCATGCAACGGTTTTACTCATGATTCTGTATCTTCTATAGCACTAAATACCATCTAGTGCTTGGAAAGTCTTGTGCCAGAATGATTAATTAAAACAGTGCTTAATCAATGGATTCTTGAAGCAGATAGAAACCCTTCTATTATTTATTAAATTTGTATGCTGCCCAGAGTCACCCTCTGGGGGAGATGGGCGGCATACAAATTTAATAAACAAACAAACTAGCTAACTGTTTAGAGTTGCTCTCTACTGCCTATACTAGATCATAAAATCTTCAACTGAACCTTGGCAAGAACCCAAGGGGCTCTGGGTTTTAGGGCCTAACAAACCCAGAACTTTACCATCTTTGGTTCTGAATGGGGTGGCGCTGCCCCAAACAGACCCGGTGTGCAATGTGAGGGTCCTTCTGGACCCACGACTCCTGCTTGAGGAGCAGGTGGCAGTCATGGCCAGGAGGGCCTTTGTGCAACCTTGTGATGTGCACCAGTTGTGTCTGTTCCTGGTCCGGGAGGCTCTGCTCACAGTCACTCATGCCCTGGTCACTCCCAGGTGGACTACTGTAAGGTGCCCTACATGGGGCTGCCCTTGAGGGGTATCTGGAAGGTTCAGCAGGTACAAAATGCAGTGGCACAAGCAATTATGTGTGTCCCTAGATGGACACATGCTACACCTCTGCTCTGAGAGCTGCATTGATTGCCAATTTGCTTCTGGGTCCAATTCAAGGTGCTGGTTTTGACCTTTAAAGCTCTATATGGCATGGGGCCAGGTCACCTGAGGGACCGCCTCTTCCCTATTACATTTACCTGTCCCATCAGGTCCAGCAGGAGAGGCATGCTGCAGGTCTGGTCCACAGGACCTACAAGGCACGTTTTTTGTGCTGTGGCACCCGCCCTCTGGAACATCATTCCACCTGAGGGGTGGTTAGCCCCAACCTTCATGGCCTTCTGTAAAGCTTTCAAAATGTGGTTTTTTTTCAGCAAGCCTGGGGATCCCCTGGTAATAGGGAACCTGCATGTTGGCTATACTGTATGTAAACATCTTCCTTCTCATGGTCTTGTTTCATCCGTGTTTTAATGAGTTTGCAAAATGTTTTAATTCTTGGTTGTACTGTACGTCTCCCAGAGTCACTTTGGGTGAGAAGGGCAGCCATATAAATTTGACAAACTACAAAAAAAAAGAAATCCTTCAAGGGAAGGAAACTGTTCGATTTGCCTTGATGGAACAGTGATACTATCAAGAACTTACCAAAAGCAGCAACCAATATCCAGAAGCTTTTTCATATTCTCCAAAAGTGGTCAGGACGGCTAAAATCAAGCACCCCAGGACTATCAGAAATCTGGATGAAGACAGAAGAGGGAAAACAAAACATTGTCAGGTATTCTTTCCATGAGCAATTACCTAAAAGGCTTTGGGCAGAAGGGGAGAGAAGGAGAGGTTTTATCCTGAGGGCAAGGTTGTCACAAGCCAAGGATTTGATTGTGCCCCAAGAAATAGGTCACTTCAGCTCTTCTAATTGGCTTATAATTGTCTAATTTGCAGGCTATGAGCAAGCATGGATTTTATTAGTTAGAAAGAACTATTAGTATCTTCAGTCATGCATGGAAGAAAGGAACACACCATGAAAACAAAAGACTGCATTTTTCTCATTTCATACCACAGGGAGGCAGCAAACGTCTATGTTCAGAATGGAGTAATTAGCTATTGGGTTCTGTCCAAGACCTCCGAAAGTTATTTATTTTTAATGTGATAAGAGTACCCCTGGACAATATCCTTATCATATTTAATTTTGCATTTAAATGAAATGAAGTTGAGTGTGGTCTCAGCCTAATGAAGTTTCATAAAAGTCCCATCTCTTAGAGAGAACAAAGGTGGATTCCGGAAACCATTCTAATGGCTCTCTCTCTCTCTCTCTCTCTCTCTCTCTCTCTCGCACACATACACATTTTGTCCGCTGTCCCCTGAAATGCGCATGGGGAAGGAGACATTCTGAATTATTCCCCTCCTTTCCAAACATCAAGGTGGAACTCTCAACGTCTGCATGAGACACCAAACAGTAGCCATCAAGATTGGCTTTACTGCCTGGTGAAACTGCTGAGCTGACTAATGACCAAACAGGGGTGACAACCTCCATTTTTTCTTCTTTTTCATTTTTGACCGGTGTGCCATTTTCAGAAATGTCTTCATGTGCAAACGCCAGAACTTTCAGCTGGTTGATGGAACTTTGGGTGGTGTGCGTAGGTGAGTAAATAAATTATAGTTAGGGTTTTTTTGTGTCTGGGTTTGCGTCCGTGTGTCAGTTTTGGTGACTACATGGACAAGTCCCTGCAGTTTTCTTGGGAAGGTTTTTCTTCAGAAGTGGTTTGCCATTGCCTCCTTCCTAGGCTGAGAGAAAGTGACTTGCCCAAGGTCACCCAGCTGGCTTTGTGACTAAGGCAGGACTAGAACTCACCATCTCTGGGTTTCTAGTCCAGTGTCTTTAACCACTATTGTTGTCTAGTTCCCATGGAATGCTAAATTTCAGTGGGGAGGTTCACTCATCGCACTAAGTCATTATATGTTTGTTCCTTCTTGGCTAAACACTTGAACTTAGCCAAGTTGTTGGTTAGTTGTACTTATTATACACACACACACACACACACACACACATATACATAGTTATTTGTTTATATATGTGTGTGTGTGTGTGTATAATTTTTATTAAGAGTTTTTGCACAGATAAAAGACAAGTACAGAACTATATAAAGAAAAGAGAGAAAAAGAGAAAAAAGTGCAGAAAACGATATAGATAAAGAAAGGAGAAAATAATAATAAAGAAGCAACTTCCCCCCTTCTTAACAGCAGACTCATTATCCTTTCTCCCTCCTTAACATTACAGTAATCCCTTCATCCCTCTATTCGGTCCCTTCTCAATCATCAAATCCAGAAATCACCATTTCACTTTTTTCCATTTTCAGCAACAATCCATACAATGTTTCCAGTCTTTTATAGAAGTACTTATTGTCTTGTCCCTGACCAGTTCTACCATCTCTGCTAATTCTGCCATCTTCACCACCCATTCCTCCATTGCGGGTATTTCAATATTTCTCCATCTTTGTGCCTATAATAATCCTGCTACAGGTATCGAAACTCCACTTTCAGAACTGAGGTTCCCGGCTCAGACAAACACCAGATTTGAAAAAGATCGAAGGATTCCTGTTCTCCCTAGGTAGTAGAATCAGAAAAACATCATGCTTTCGTGAAGTATATAAAGGAACCTACCTAGTTAGTGTTCTGCCCGGGCTACAATACCTTAGCTTATTCAACAGATCACCTTCAGAAAAAGAAATGGAAGAAAAACCCATATTGGCTCATAAATAATCAGTGTTTAGAAAAGTATATTACATTTCGCTTAATTGTGGGGTTCATGTAACACACTGAAACCAAGGTTCAGGCAACATGATGCTTGTGTTACATACATGATTATGTCCAAGCCAATAAGTTATATTACATTTTACGTAGTCGCCTGGTTCATAAAACCTGCTCAGACTATGGCTGGATTCCCACAACACACTGAACCACAAACTACTACACTCCAGACTTTGTCCAGCCTAGTGAACTGTGTGAGTGCATTTCATGACCCTGCCTTGTGGTAGCCATCTGATCCAGATCATTAGCTCTCAACCACAGAGACAACTTAAGTTCCCCAAATAGGAACTCCATGCCCTTCAATCAGGATCCACCTAAAATGGAGTCTTATAATCTAATAGATCATTAGCTCTCAACCACAGAGACAACTTAAGTTCCCCAAATAGGAACTCCATGCCCTTCAATCAGGATCCACCTAAAATGGAGTCTTATAATCTAATTCTACTCAAATCTTTTTAATGATACAATGCTAGGCTCCAAAGCCAGAGCGAAGTCTCTGAACAACTCCTTCAAAGGAGCAGAGACTTCACCGCTTGAGGTAAAGAAAGTGTCCCTTAATACCCACTTCTATAATAGCAAGACTCTGATTTGGGGCTGAAATATTAGACTTTTCCTAACCTGGCTTTCTCCTTGATTGGGAGGGTGCCAGATTGCAGATGTTTTCTCCAAGCAATGAAATCATACTGTAGAATCATAGAGTTGGAAGAGACTTATGAGGTCAACGAGTCCAACCCCTTGCACCCTTCAGGATTCACCACATCATCCCCACTAGATGACTATCCAGCCTGTTTGAAAGCCTCCAGTGAAGGGGAAGAAACCCCTCCATGTATCTTATTCCACAGACTGACCACTCCTCCTGTCAAGAAGTTCTTCCTCATGTTGAATCTGTATCTACATCCTTCAAGTTTCATCCCATTAGTTCTAGCCTTACCCACTGGAGTAGGAGAGAATAAGCCCCAAACCTTACAATGTGACAGCCCTTCAGATATTTCAAAAAACATCTGAAATAACCTCATGTTCCTATTCTTTTAGGATCCTATCCTATTCCTATTATACTGAAAGGGACCATATTGACATAGAACTTTTGAACATAGTGCCACACCTTAAGACAATAGTCTGCAACAGGTTCTAGGTTGGTCAAGTTATTTTCATTATCAGATTCATATCCTGTTATCAGATTCATATCCTGCCTTTTCTCCAGGAGCTGATCTGGGGATCTCCCTTTATTTTATCCCCACAACAGCAACCGTCATGTAGGTTGGGCTGAGAGAAAGAGACAAAGAGAGCATCAAAAAACCACCTAATGAACTTCCATGGTAGAGGGTGAACTTCTGCCTGAATGGCTGCCTCACTTAAATGGTAGTATTAGCCCCTTACAAAACTGTTATTAATTTGATTAATAACCTTTCATTCAGGAGGTCAAAGTGACACACACAGCACGCACCCGTTTTCCCCACAACAACTGTGTGAGATAGTTGGGCTGACAGAGAATGACTGGTTGAAGGTCATTCAGAGAGCTTTCATAGTTGAGGATGGATCAGAAACTGGGTCTCACCAATTCAGCCCAACACCATTATCACAACCCCACACTGGTTCTCACGTGTATAACTCTTTATAGTCTTGCAAAGGCAGATCTATAGGATATACTGGAGCCATGAGAAGGGCAACTGGAGGATGAATGTGACTCGAAGAAGCCAACCAAAGACTTACTAATTAGTTTACTTTCCAATTTATAGCTTTCCACCATATGCTCATGGATGGTTCTTTGCTTTTTTTAACGGGAATTATGAGCAGTGGATGAATAGCAGATGATTCACACCTTGAAGGTGAATTTGGATCAACAATACATCAGTCTTCATGTCATCAGAACTCTAATTTATCCTTGCAGAGTGTAACAATGGATTTATTGTACTTAGACAAAAAAAAATCTTTTATTCTATATTTCTGTAAGCAATTAATCAGCAACACAGAAAGCAGGACAGCCATCTGTACATAAAGCACTATTTTACAGGAAACTAGAAGCTGAAGCCTTCAGCAGAAGCTATCAGCATTTTCCAGAAAATGCTTTGCTTCGTTTCTTGAAACATTTAGCTGGACTGAGCAACAATGATTTTCAACAGAATATAAGATGTTCCTATTCTCTCAGATGACATGCTAGTATTTCAGACTGCATCCTTCTCTTGGTATCTTGACATTTGTTAATGCAGACCATTTTATCAAACTTCCAGCAGAGAGTATTACTGTAGCAAGCTGGGCAGCTTTATTTATTATACTGTCCAAATGGGCCATAAATCAAGGTGGCTTTCCTTGATGGAGCATGTAGCTTGGACAGTTGAAATGAAGATACTAATGGACTACCAGTGGCCTCACTGCACTTTTTACACTGGTGGGTGCATTCAGAACTTTAAAAACATGTTACAAGTACACTCACCAAGCAACTGAAAGTGTATCATACCCGTACATTAGATGGTAAGCTGATAGCCTTGTTCCCACAACCTCCAAAGATGTTCTCCACCACTCTAAGCTTATCTTTTTCCACTTCCAAACCAACCACAACTGCTATCACCCATCACTTTCTAAATATATATTTTAAGACTGCTCCCTGAGTCTAGAATAGGGCCAAAATCTTTCTTGGAAACACAGATTCTATTTAAGGTTGGCATTCTGCTTTGCAGCACACTAGCTTCTCTCTCTCTTTTTCAATTCAAGGAAGCTAAAAGAGAAGTCAGGTGAGACAAGGAGCCAGGTGACCACTAAAAGAAATCTGGGTGGACAAACCCATGGGCCACACATAATTGGGGACCTAAAAATGAAAGTGTTTTGCCAAGCAGCAAAGATGATTTTACTAAGAATGAGAAGAAATCTGAGATGGAAAATTTAGCTTAATGCACAAGAAATCCATTCTCTCCAGCCATGTATTTTGAGATAGCA